ACCAATGTGCTTTGGATTGTTTTTTTTCTTATTTTCCACAAGGTTAGAGCACACTAAACTTCTTTTGACACTCAGAACCAACATGGACTTTGACGTTGAAATATCTTGTTGCTACTGGACAGGGATGTGAAGAACTCGCTGGAAGATTGCTGACCTTTAATGTTTTTATATATTCAGTTGTATCGTCATGGGATTGGATGCAAGAGAAAACCAGGTTGTAAACACTTCCCAGAAGGTGAACATTGAACTGTTTGTTATTTCAGTTTGGGTTTACGTGAGTGGGGAGGGGCAGGAGTACACAAGTATTTACCCACATTCTTGTACATGCCTTCCCCTGACACCGCACATTTTAAACGTTACAGCCTGGCTCAGCATTACCAGCAGAACAATCAGCAAATCATTTCATCTGACACAAAAAATGAATAAAGAAGATGACTATACTCTGGACCGTAAGAACATTGAGGAACAAAAGGATCTAGGGGTTCAGATTCACAATATTATAATTTGGTCGCTCATTCCATAACTATTTGTGGGACACTACTAACATTTTCTGCCCAACCCACTGGCTGCCGAGTTTTGCCCACAAAATGTACAGTGTATCCAGTGAAGTGCTTCGAGACGTTTCGGAGACATGGTAAGGCCCTATATCAAATGCAAGGATTATTATTATTATTAAAGTAGCAGTTCAGGCGGACCTGGCCATAAGGATACATTTGGAGTACTGTGGACAGTTCTAGTCACCATACCACAGGAGGGATATTGGAGCATTGGAGAGAGTGCATTGTAGGTTTACTAGGCTGTTACCAGGGCTCAGTGAATACAGTTATCAAGAAAGATAACGTTTCACTCTGGAGAAGAGATAAATGAGAGGGGACCTGATAGAACTGTTTACAATTATGAAAGGATTCGATAAGTCCAGAAAAAAGGGGAGCATAAATATAAGATAGTAGCAGATCTAAACAACAGCAGATCTCTTAACTACTCAACCAATACTGCCGCCACGAGTCTTTCAATTTAGAACGTGTTTACAGTTCAGCTCCAAAGACTCTGTTCATGTCCAAATTGATCTCCCTTGAAGTTTATACATCGTGCTGCCCTGAGTCAGTTCACATGCCGGGAAGCATTAACATTTTTTGCCCAACCCATGCACTAGCTTTTACTAGATTGCTGAAAACCGCAGGAGATTAATATCAGCCATTCTATTAGTGTGTTTTGAACTTCCTGTATCATAGCCCCAGACAGAAAGTGGACAGCGAAGGCAGAGTGCTTTTGCTGCAGGCTAGAATCCCACTGGTTTTCACTGCAGTAGTTGTATGGATGATATTGACATGAGGCAGCTGTAAATTCCCTTCTAATGTAAATCTGCAGCTGCAGTATAAAACTGGGTATTTGGCATGCGTGTAAACTTGGAGCAAAACACGTACTTAGACCAGACAGAGTATATTTTTCAAGACTCAAGTCATGATTTGGAAAAGGGAGGGAGGCTATACAGCAGAAACTTGATAAATGAGTATTGCTAGTTTGCCAAGAAATGTTCTGCCTGGATCAGGATTACGCCTGGATCAGGCTCTCTGAAAATTGCAGAGAAAAAAATCAGCCAATTGGCAGATTTTTGTGACACAACAATTCAACCTAAACAAAAATGATTGGATTTAGAAAATGTCCTCTTCATCGAGGGAAATGTTAAAGAGTTCAGTACATGGGCTGTTTTTTATGCTGTAACATTATGGAGTCCTGTAGCTCAGTGGTTAGAGCAAGTGAGAGACCTGAGTTCAATTCCAGGCAGGGCGAAACCTTGGGCAAGTTTCCTTACTCCACACAGAGCCTAATAATAATCCCTCCAAAACCAAAAAGAGTAATAAATTGGTCATTTTCAATCTACGACTATTTGTGGGACATTGCTGTGCGCAATTGGCTGCCGTGTTCGCCCACAAATGTACAGTCAATTCACTTTACAGTGTGTTCTGTGAAGCGTTTTGGGACGTCCTCCCGACGTGAAAAGCGCTATATCAAATGCAAGGATTATTATTATTATTATTATTCTATGATTCTATAGAATGTGAACCTAAGCACAAAAGGCGCAGTTGTCTTCGTGAAAATGTGTTTTACTGATGTATTTTAATCTTCGAACAGGGAAAGAGCCCGAAGAAGCACACACAACAATGCCAAGTGTAAAAAATGAAGTGATACCATTCTTTAACCCAATTTACATCATTTTGCCATATGTTTGCAAACAAGGTAGCACAGGTTTGCGTAAGACTTTGTGATTAAAATGGCACTCTTTAAAAATTGGGCTTATATGTACATAGTTTATATGGATTTGGAATTCCCTATGGGATGAATATGAAGCAATTGGCTTAGTTCAGACATACAGTGACATGGATTTGATTGGATCATTGAAATGCTGAAGGTGGGAGGTCATAAAAAATTGATGAGGAAACTCTGAAGATCCATTGTAACACACTAACTAGGCAAAGGAGGATAAAAGTTGAGTCAACTTTCTGTGGTGCAAAACCCAAAGAGATTGTTGATGATCGACCAGCCTGCCTGGCTCATCAATAGGTCTTAAGGGTGTAGACATGCCAATGAAATGTCACCATTTTACACTCGACTCATAATAACCCTCCAACTCAAAGCCTTAATGGGAAGGGCTGTCTTAACCTATGAAGAATAGGAATACCACACCTGAGCTTCAAGTTTGTTTGACCCATACACTTCTAAACGAAAACCAATATTGATAATAACTCCCTTTATAGTGCCAGAGGAGCTGGGAAGAAGAAGACTAGGAGTGTGGAGTCCTGTAGCTCAGTGGTTAGAGCACTCGCTTTGCAAGTGAGAGACCTGAGTTCAATTCCAGGCAGGGCGAAACCTTGGGCAAGTTTCCTTACTCCACACGCCTAATAATAATCCCTCCAAAAAAACAAAAACAATAATAAATTGGTCATTTTCAATCTACGACTGTTTGTGGGACATTGCTATGCGCAATTGGCTGCCACGTTCGCCCACAAACATACAGTCAATTCACTTGACAGTGTGTTCTGTGAAGCGCTTTGGGACGTCCTCCTGACGTGAAAAGCGCTATATCAAATGCAAGGATTATTATTATTATCTCACCTGTTATATTTTTGTTCAGAGTCAGATTCACTGGGTATTCAATAATGTCATTTGTGACTTTGACCGGTGCTGTGTTGGTACTGTGGGCGTGGAAGAAGCCAGATTGGAGAGACTCATACACAGAGTGGTGAGAGAGGAAAGAGCAAAGCTGTGAGGCAATCATACATCGCAGTACCTTAGAAAGGAAGGGCAGGTTACTGCTGCTCAATGAAAAATAAACTCTACATTTGGTTGGAATCTTAGATGAGGCATAAGAATCATTCGATCAGAATGACAAATGAAGTATGGTTAATTGATGACCCGGATCTCATGCACCCTGCGGGCTGAAAGAATGTAAGAGAGGTCAAGTGAACATGACTAGACTTTTAGCTTCTGGTAGACAAGATGTTTGTGACATTTAGGAACCTTGCAGGAAACTGAACCTTGATTAAGGTATTGACAAATTTCATGTCATAATCTCAATTTCTAAACAGCATTCTAGAAAGCAAGAGGGGCCAAGTACTGTAGAATGAATCTATACCTTGATGTAATCCTCTAAATACCAAGGCTATAAACAAAAGCTGTCTGCTGGACAACTGTAAAAAGAAATCTCTCCTGTGGATCTCTCAATCCAGGATATCCAAGAACCAAAGTTAATGTGAGGGGAGCAGAGTCACCTTTGCTCAGGATTTAATGTAGGACCCCGGAGATCAGAAGAAAGTGAGAAAATGGATACAAAAGCATTTGCTTCCAAGAGCATTTCCCCATCTGATTTGTCTTTAGTCATTGAGGATAACTTGAGTTGATCATTGTCCAGTGATGAGACCAATCTTTTGGTATCCATGTTCAGATAAAAACCTCTGAATGTATCATCCAGTTGTGAGAGTATACTGGGACCTAATTCAAAGTGTTTAGTGTTGTCTTGTCCACCCTGCTATAATCATAGAAGCATACAATCTGACAGCTCAGAAGAAGGCCATTTAGCCCATCGTGCTTGTACTGGCTCTTTGAAAGAGTGATCTAACTAGTCCCACTCCCATGCTCGTTTCCCATAGCCTTGCAATTTTTTTCTTTTCAAGTATATATCCAACTATAACAATAACTCACTTATGGTTCTTTCTATAACCTACAGAGCAATATTATTTCACAGATCATAAAAACATTGCACACAAATTGAATGTAAGAACCAGTAAAACAAAATTCTCTAAATTATTAAAAATCCAAATCACTTACCACATTTGTTTAATTATTACCGTAATGCCTATTTAAAATGGAACAGTCAAGAGGACATTTCATTTACAGACACATAGAAAGGATCTGGATAGTAAATATAAAAATAACGAGATAAAATATAAGAAAGGATTAAAAATAAGGAATGGGCATTTCACATACAGAAATATTTATTTACTAGTTATAAAAGTAATTTTTATTGCAGTGCTAAGCAACCAATTATACTTGAAATGTTAAATGGTAAATTTCCCATCCTGGAACGGTTTGCTGACCAAATCTCTGGTTAATCCCAACTAACCAAACAAATCCTTGGTGAAGATGATTCCGGACTTGCCTACAAGCAAATTTGCATCTGCACATCCGTTTCATGTTCTCTTTCCCCTCTGCCCCCCATCCCCACCCTCCCCCTTGGGTAAACTAGAACAAGCCCACCAATACACTTGACCATATATGTGTTCAAACATACGAAAACTTAAAAGTAATAAAAATAATTAGATTTTTTTAAAAATTCAAAATCTTTTGATTTCCTCCAAAAAAGAAACTTCTCAGCGTTCAACTACAATCAAGCAAGTTTCAACGACTGCTTGTAATGAAGGCTATTTCTTTGAATTTACCAGTATATTTATTGGTGTTAATAACCTGTACGTTATATATTATATAGATGTAAAAAAAATTACCACTAAAAACTCCTTCTTCTCGACTTGCTGGTTACCATCAGTGTCCAGCATACTGAAGGCAATATGGAATCCAGTGCGTGGCTCTGTGGGATAAGAAAGCAGCTCTCATTAGAACGGTTCATTCAGGAGGAATGTCTGACATTGTTGGTATACGTGTGAAGGATAGGTTTCTTTACTTTGAGGAAGATGTAGCTTCACTGCATTTCAAACCCTACGCATGAGCTTGCCTCAGGTCACGCTCAAGACGGGAGGCAGACAGCGGAGGCCAACCAAATCTTTAAACCTGCCCTTGCTGTGTCTGATGCTGCAATCTCTGAAGCTGAGTGCTTTCGACAATTTACTCTTGGAACAAATTCCGCTGCTCATTTTTTGCTGGAGACAATAACATTTTTGCTGGGAAAACAACAACAACTTGTATGTACATAGCGCCCCTAATGCAAGGTAGTGTCCTACAGCGCTTGACAGTGGCGGAGCACGTCGACGAGCTGTGTGGAGGTGACTGTAGGCACTGCCGAAAAGGAAGGTCTTCAGGCATGACCTGAAGATGAGAAGGGATGGGAGCACGGTGCAATGCTAGACCTAATGAGGGATAAAACGCAGCAAAGAGAATACAAACCATAGCATTGTACTAAGCATAAAGCACTAACATCCTGCATTTGAAAATAACCACATTAATTACAGAGCAAAGCATTTCAGAGCAAAGTTGCCAGATAAGGATTTAATACAGATACACAAGAAAGTGGGGAACAAGGAAAGGCCATTCAGTTCATCAAGCCCATTTGACGCCTACAGACCTCCATTAGCCACTGCTCCAGACAGTCTTTACCATTTATCATCTTCTGTTTTTTAGCGCAGGTTAGCTTCAATCCTGCTACCTTATTCGCCATTAATTCCATGATTCTCAATCTTCTTAAAAGCTTCATGTATGGAACTCAATCAAATGCTGATAATCCAAGTAAATTACATCCACTGGTTTGCCCGTGTCCCCCAACTCAGTTACCTCCTGAAAGAACTCCTGTGATTTGTGAGGCATGACCTATTAGTGCTAAACACATTCTGACTGCTCTGTGTTCTTTAGATGAACATTGATAGGATCCCATAAAATGCTCTCAAGCATTTTCTTCACTCGAGATGTTAGGCTAACTGGCCTGTAATGCCTGGGTTTATGTCTCATTCTTTTTCTATCGTCCTCAGGTGCAGCTTTTGTACTTAGAAAGCTCCTAAAAATGTTAACCAAAGTATTACTGTTTTCCACCTTGATTTATCTTATCTAGTTAAGATGCTTAGTGGACATTTAGGACTGATTTTAAGATTATCCGGCATTCTGGATAGTTATGCAGGGACAAGTTTAAAAACATTTTAAGACAGTTAGCAAATAGCAAAGTTAGAAAGGTTAACTTCCCATTACAGGATTTATTAAAATAAACAGTGATGCAGAACTACAGTACATGGGAGGCTAATTATCACTTGTCCTGACAGGCGTATGTTCGTAGATGCTTTTATTCAAAATTAATAAGACTTAAGGAAGTTAGTTCTGTATTGGTTAGAGCACTTGCCTCACAAGCGAGAGGACCTGGGTTTGATCCCCAGGCAGGGCAAGACCTGAGGCGAGTTTCCTTACTCCACACACTTCTGTTTAACTAGCAGTAAGTAGGAATCTGGTTGTTAGTCGACTGGTGGATCCCTTTCTGGGTGTAATAAATATAATAATTTAATCCACTTAATCCACGACTGTTTGCAATTGGCCACAAAATATATGCCGTGCGCAATTGGCCACAAAATATACAGTCAATTCACTTTACAGTATATTCTGTGAAGCGCTTTGAGATGTCTAAACAACATGAGATGTCTATACCAACATGAGATGTCTATACCAAGATGGTATATTAAATGCAAAGATTATTATTATTGTTACAAATGTGGAAACAAACACCAGTTTATTATTATTAAGTGAGCAAATGCCTCCTGGGACTCAACTAGCTCAGAGAATATAAGCCTGGTAAAGCCAGGAAAGTTCACTGAATTGATAAGAGGTGTAAACATGTTCTCAAGCCTGAAAGCAAAACACTTTAAATAGAATGGTAGTCTTAGCTGAAGAAGTGCCATGCTGCAAAGGTGACCATAATAAGACAGTATTTTGGTTCTAGCAAGAAAGATAATAATTTATGCTAGATTAATTTTCACTAGACATGAAAATGTAAGATTCTCAAACTGGAAGATGTAAAAATACTGGATCATGTATTCCGTATTCTAACAATTGCGGTAATCTGCAATGTAGCAAATAAACAACAAGACAAAAGTGAAGTTAAATCCTCTTAAAGTGGGATTGTTTCCTGGTAAGATGTTGTTTAAAGGCGTGATTAGTTTAGACAATGAAATCTCTTCAGTGCCGATAAGCATCTCCCTGACAGTTTGCTATAAACACACATACACACACACACACCATACACACAGCTAAAGTTTATACTGTGGCAGGTATAGCACTCCTAGGACAAACTCACTCCTGTTCTCAACAAGATAGGCATTCAGATGGAGTTTTGCATTGCTTGTTGATTATTCCATTATAATAGTAATCCTATAATAATCCTTGCATTTGATATAGCCCCTTATCATGTCATTGAGACCTCTCAAAGTGCTTTACAGAATATACTGTAAAGTGAATTGACTGTAAATATTATTGGCGAAACATGGCTACCAATTTTGCATAGCAGTGTCCCACAAACAATCGTGGATTGAGTGACCACATTTTATTTTGAAGGGATTATTACCTCAGGAAAGCAATCCGCCAATCGACTAACAACTGGGTTCCTACGTACTGCTAGGTAAAAGAGGTATGTAGAGTAAGGACACTTGCCTAAGGTTTTGCCCTGCTCAGGAACTGAACCCAGGTCCTCTCGTTTGCGAGACGAGTGCGCTAACCACTATGCTACAGAACTCCCCAATTATTAGCAATGAGATTCACTCAGAGTTGCTATTAGTGAATCCTGTTGTGAACAGCTTAAACAATCAAATTATAATCAAATTATAGCCTCCACTTACTTGTTAGAATGCACAGCAGAAATAAATATTCAGTGTACGAGATCAAACCTGGTGAGAAAAAGAAAAAAATATTAAACTTCTTTTACTTTGAGCCTTCAAATAATGATTTTTTGTAGAAATATTTAGCAACAACACATATATATGCTCTAAAATTAAACAACATTTGATACAAAAAGTGACTGGCCACAAACGGCTTCATTAGAGGGCAAGTACAGACAAACAATGGACCACAGACTCGTCAGTAAGAAACTGGTGGTTAAGATACAATAAATATTTGGATGACTGAGACCTAGAATGTAACCTGATTCTTAACTGTAGACCGGTTGTGGTTATTTTCTACTTAAAGTGAAAAAATCAAAGGATGTTGAGATTTTTAGACTATTATTCTTTGAACAAGAGATCGCTCCTCATACCATGGGTCAGACTCTGCACTTTATAAGAGCAATTTGGAGTGGAATTTTGTACAATATCATCACCATCACAAAGCTTTCTCGAGAGATACATTAACTGCTCCTCCCATAGAATACTTGGAGGTTATTCTCTTTAACTAGATTTTTAAATATGGGTTTTCAACAGTCTGCACACAGCCACATAGCTTGTGAAGCCACTGTACACTGTAGCTCAGTGGTAGAGCACTCGACTCGCAAGCGGGAGCCCTGGGTTCGATTCCCAGGGTGAAATGTTCGGCAAGTTTCCTTACTCAACACGCCTCTGTTTACCTAGCAGTAAGTAGGTACCCAAATAATAATAATAAATTGGTCACTTTAATCCACGACTGTTTGTGGGACATTGCTGTGCACAATTGGCTGCTGCATTTTGCCCACAAAATATAGTCAATTCACTTTACAGTATATTCTGTGAAGCGTTTTGAGACATCTTGAATACATAATAAGGTGCTATATCAAATGCAAGGATTATTATTACACTTGGATTGAATGGTACTTGAGGGGAGGTATTGATAAAAAACACATTTTTTTTCACACGGTTGAGAGTGTGGGAAGAAATGTGTATTCAACGGATGGATCTTTGTGTATTCAAGGGTTGAAGCAATTAGCTTGTTCTGAGATTCTGGGCCGGGATGGGTCTGCCTACCTTGTACTTAGTCCTAGTAATTTGAATTCCTATCTTTGTTGGATGCAATCATCTTTGTTCATTTATTTCCTCTAATATGGTTCCCTGGGGGAGGTTGGGACAGTGATGGAGCATAAACGCATGGCTCAAGCATCTATGGACATATACCAATCAGGACAAGTGATATTTGGCCTCCGCGTGGACTAAGGAAATACCAGACAGTCTGGGCCTCTTTGACACTTGTGGCTTTTTTTACAAAAAAATTTGGTTTTAAATACTTGCGCAAGATCTTCTCTCGGCCCTCCCCAACCCCTGCCCAGACACTCAATTTTAAGCATATGTTCTCCTCCAACATTTCAGATTCTCACTGCCCTTCCTGGCTAAAAAGATAGGCATGCGTCTTGCTCTCTACCAATGCCACCTGAGCCCTTACATGTGCAGAAGAGAAGCTGAGTGTGACTGGATCTTTGACTTCCTGTAGAGAAGTAAATCGCTCGGCACATGATATACTTAAATGTTGAAATTTACCACAAGTATAGCATTCTACCCTTTGACAGTAATTTACTAAGACAGGTAAGCTGCATAACCTCCACAATGGGGCTTAAAAAACTGGTCCTAGTTTTCAACAGAAATTGTAAAATTCACTCTCGTGTTTACTACAATAATTTGTATTTATATTGCATTCTTCGTACAGCGTAGGGTGTTGGGAGCGCTGTATAGAGGTGGGATTGATGCCGAGAGAGGGAGAAGGGGGAAGGGAAGTGACCACAGGCGCAGTTGAAGAGATAAGTTGTAACGTGGGACTTAAAGATAAATGAAGAGTGGGCGAGGGGAGGGATTGAGGCAGGGAATTCCAGAGGTTAGGGTTTAGTGACTGAAGGCCAGGCCACTGTGGAGGGAGGGATCGGGTGCTGGGGGACGTGCAGCAGGCCTGTACCAGCTGAGTGAAGGGGGCGGGCAGAGGAGTGAGGTCTGGACACTAAATAAAATTGTGATCCCAAAGGCTACTATTCTATGGTTGGCAATTTGTTTTTCAATATGCTGTTGGTCTCTTGGAGGACTTTTCTTGGCCAAGAGATGTCCAAAAGTGAGACGTTGACTACGATTGGGACTTCCAGTTTACAATTGCAACTTTAGTCATAAACCAGAAGTTGCAATAAGTGACAAGGAATAAAGACTTCCATCTTATGAATAATGCATTACCAACTCCAATGGTTAAATGTTACTCCTTTTATTTCAGCCACATACATCATCATCGTCGTTCCTTGTCGGAAAATTCTTACAGAAGAATAGTATTTTGCTCTAAAGTAGCTGGATTCAGTTGCAGTGCACCTGCTCATGAAAACTAATTATAATCTTTCATTTGCTTGTCTTGCAATCTGCTTTAATAATCTGATATTACAATGTAGAAGCCTCAGAATATTCTTCTCCTTTATATCATGAAAATATCCCACAACTGCTGTAAGCTTATCAATGCTCAATTGGCAATGGTTTACACCTCCCAATAAACATAAAATGCTTTTGTGCATTGATTAACCTCTCAACTCAACGGCAGCAACTGTAATGCTTTGTTTACATGCTCCTGGTAGCAAACCAGGTGCACTCAACCTAACCATCTATTCTCATGATTTGTTGGGAGCAGAACTGGAGTCCTGGGCTGAGGCTTCAGGGTAGGATAGAATTTAGTATCAGCCAGTATTGAAGCCAAACTCCATCGAGTACCATTTGAAGACGACCTCGGTCTAACCCTTCTTTGGGGACAAAGTTATTGATTTCAAGCTTTTCTGAGCTGACACGTCATGTGGCATCAGATTCCCGTGTGGTCATAATACAGAAGGTTTTTTTCTAGCTATTGTCTGAGCTATGCGGATGCAGTCATTGGGCCTGATTGACTTTGGCCTTCATCTACATCGAAATCATGACTAGTAAAGAACTTGCCATTTAATCTCATTCTTCTGCCCTAAATGTTCTCCTCACATGAAAGTCACTAAATTAATGAAATTGTTTTTTTCCCATAACGTTATATATTTTCCCTTTTGAACTAAGATATTTGTCTAGTCCCTTTTTCTAAGGTATCATGGATTCTACTTCATTTTCCTCTTTAGGCAGGGCATTCCATGTACTAATAATGAATTAATTAAGATTAAATGAATTCTCCAGACCTCTCCTTATTTTTTTCTAATTACCTAGATACTGACTCACTGACCAATGAAAATTGTTTTTTTATTCACCTTATCGCAACCCCTCAGAATTTTGAACAACTCTATAAGTTCTCCTTTCAATGTTTCAGTGAATAATAATAAAATAATCCTTGCATTTGATATAGCGCTTTTCACGTCGGGAGGACGTCCCAAAGCGCTTCACAGAACATACTGTAAAGTGAATTGACTGTATATTTGTGGGCGAACGCGGCAGCCAATTGCGCACAGCAATGTCCCACAAACAGTCGTAGATTGAAAATGACCAATTTAATTATTGTTTTTTTTGAGGGATTATTATTAGGTGTGTGGAGTAAGGAAACTTGCCCAAGGTTTCGCCCTCTGCCTGGAATTGAACTCAGGTCTCTCACTTGCAAAGCGAGTGCTCTAACCACTGAGCTACAGGACTCCAATAGTTTGTGTCTTGAATTTCCATGTGCTTGTGAGATACATGGAACTCAGTTTGGATACTCTTAAGCACGGTGATGGTTTTTGTCATGTGTTAGACACCTGGCTGACTAAATAGTGAAAACAGCCCCAGTTCCTGTAGTCTCACCTCATAATAAAGCCTTTCAACCCTGGTATCATAATAATAAATAATAATATCCTAATGAAACTCCCCTGTACCCTCTTCATGCCTTTAATGTTCTTTCTAAAACTGAACACAAGCACAACTGCAACCTAACCAATTATTTGTACAGGTTTAGCAACAGCTATTTGCTTTTGCCTCTTTTTTTAAAAAACAGATTTGTGGTTGTGAAACCATTATGCCTCTCTGCTCTTCCACTCCTTTTAAAGCGTTACCAATTAGTGCATTAGCCTTGGTTTATACTTTCAGCTTTCCATTTAGTTAATGGTTACTTGAAAGTGAATGAAGAGCGTGTGGGTTCCTTGCTTCTCTCTGAATATTTAGCACACGCAAAAATCGCTTAGGTGTTCAGTTTCCTTGCGCGATAGCACTGAGTTTGTTAATTAATGCTCGGTTATGCGTTTACTCCATTATGTCTGGCACAGATTCACTGAACTTGGGAACACACAGTGCAACCTCTTCCTCAACTATCTTAAAGAGCTTTTCAGTTCAATATGAAGATGATGCAATGGATCGATTGGGTCCGCATAGTCGTGATCAGTCAACATATGACCAGATAAACTGCAACATTTTAAAAGTTTGGTGTAGGAAACAATCTTTCAGGAATTTAGTAAATCATCAGAAACACAAGCTTGTCCTAACAGCTTTTTCCAAACTGCAGGAGTATTTTTATCTCAGTCTTTGCATTACGAGTTTCTTTGCTGCTAAGAGCTTTGTGTCTGCATCGCTTTCAATAATCTTCCCATTCAGTCTGGCAACATACTGCCAGGTAGACCCTGAAACCTCTCACTTGTTGAGATGCTATGGTGAGACAGATGGAGTGGCAATATTATGACTGATACATTTCAGGGCCCCATGGATTGCAGTGCAGGCCTGTGCTGAGCGTTGCAATGACTGGTCAGCGTTGACCTATAATGGTGCCTAGGATTTCTCACAGCTGTCCCAGCACCGCCACATCGCAGAACCTGATATCACTATGTCTTCTGCTCAAGTTCCCATTCTAGCTCTTCCAGAGGAGGCTATTATTGATGACCTTGAGTGCGAAGGGACGTACGCCTTTTCTCGATGATGCTGAACCCAGTGGGTATTTTGAATTGGATCTTTTTTTTGCTCTCCTCTTTTGACCTCATGATCCCAACTCTCTATATAAGTCAGTTATCGTCCCAAGTTTCTTTTTTTAACTGGGAGGA